TCACGCTTCCCTCTCAACACACATATATACACACACCCTAGCCTGGGCAGGGAGGTCAGCTCTCTGGGAGTCAGGAGGGGGACACACGCTGGGGAACTACCTGCAAGACCTCCAGCCCCCACTAGAGGGCGGCAGAGGCCTGGATTTCTCTCCCTGTGCCGGGCTCTCCAGGCCACTTGCCTGAATACAACCCAGCAGCCTCCGAGGCCAAGACGGAGAATCTGGGAAGGTTCCGACAAGACACTGCACTGCACCGACTCCCACATTTAGGTTCCCACCCTAGTTTCCTCCTTGTCCTTCCCTCTCTCCAACACCTGAAACTCAGCATCCCCAACACCTCACCCCTGAGCCCGTCTCATTCCCGTTTCCCATTGCTTATGGGGAGCCTTATTCACGCATCCCAGAATCCTGCCTGGCTTTTACCACTTGATACAGTGCATCCCCAAATGAGTCCCCAAATGGGCCTTGGTAGCTCAGGCTCCATGGAAAGAAGGACTCATGGTTGAGTGAGTTGGGGGAAACTCCAAACACCAGAGTCTTCCCTTGAAAAATGTTCAGCGCAGACGAGCACATGCACGGCTCTGAGACATTCTGCAGCGAAAACCCCTAAACTCTGCTCACCCCAGTGTTGGCTTCTGTAACATTTACCCACATCAAAGGGAGGTGCCCGGAGTGCCCGTCAGAAATGCTGTCTCAGGGCACAGGCTCGTAAATCAGTCACCAGGTTCTTGTGAAAGGTCTCTGACTTTCATCTCTTCCCTGTGGCCGGCCGAGGCCCCATCTCCCAACACCGGGATTACTCCAACAGCCTCCGAACTGGTCTGACAGCCTGGGTTCTCCCTCCCCCACCCAGCCGGCGCCGTGCCGCCAGGTTAATCTGCCCCAAACATCACTTCCCGGGCTCTCCTGGCTGAGAACTCCTGGCCCTGCCTGACCTCACAGCCCGGCACCACGACTCCCCACTCTGCCCAGCACTCGGGCTTGGCACCTCAGGGCCCGCCTGTTGCTCTGGACCCCTTGCCGTTGCCTATCAGCCCTCCCCTTTGAGCCACACAACACTCAGATCCTACTGGGAGTCAGGAGAGGAACTGCCTTCAAGACCTCCAGCCCCCACTAGAGCACACCTATACCACAGAGCTGGCCCTGCCTTTTTTTCTTTTCTTTCTTTCTTTAAATCCTTACCCAAGGATGCTTATTGGTTTTTAGAGAGAGAAGGGATAGAGAGAGAAACATCGACGTGAGAGAGCGATCCATCAGTTGCCTCCCAGACACGCTCCGACTGGGGATCGAACCCGCAACCTGGGTATGTGCCCTGACAATGAATCGAAACTGCAGTCTTTTCGGTGTACGGGACGACACTCCAACCCATGGAGCCACCCGGCCAGGGAAGCACTGCCTTTTGACATCTTTCTCCAAAATCCTACTGAAGTCAGAGCCACTTCATGGTCCAGTTTCCCCTACACCTGAGCACCCCCTTCTGGTTAAGACTGCAGAGCACGGGGACTTCTGTCCCCCGGCTTCCCCCGCGGCACCCAGCACAAGGGCTGACTAAACATCCGACTCAGAAGGCCCTTAATGACATGACGAATGCAGTCCTGTTGCCAAGGCCGTCGGTAGGACGGCCGGGGTTGGAGACCTGGGTCAAAGCGGGCAGAGGCGGGGGCACTGACCCTCACAGGCCTGCTGGCCACTCCGGAGGCTGTAGCCAGCTGTGCACATGCAGGAGCGGGTCGTCTCTGACGTGGGCAGGCAGAGCTGGGAGCAGTCCCCGTTGTTGACACTGCAGGGGTTGGTGACCTCGTGCCCTGGGGGAGGAGGCGGGAGGCAGAGAAAGGGTCAGGAGTCCTCCCTGGGACCTCGGTGTCCGGCTCATGCTGCTCAGGGACAGTCACTGCCTTCAGCCTGGGCCTTGTGGGGGTCACCCCCCAACTCAGCTCTCAGGTCATCTGTCCTCCAGTAACCGGGTGGCTGTGAGCCTATACCAGCCGTGGGCAAACTACGGCCCGCGGGCCGGATCCGGCCCGTTTGAAATGAATAAAACTAAAAAAAAAAAAAGACCGTACCCTTTTATGTAATGATGTTTACTTTGAATTTATATTAGTTCACACAAACACTCCATCCATGCTTTTGTTCCGGCCCTCCGGTCCAGTTTAAGAACCCATTGTGGCCCTCGAGTCAAAAAGTTTGCCCACCCCTGGCCTATACGGTGCCTCCGTGAGAATTAGAAAGGGGACCCCCTTTGGGTGGTGAGGGGAACCCACCCCATTTTCATTCCCGTCCGCTCCCTTGCCCCAGGGTTCCTGCAGCCTTGACTCCTCTGACCCCCACCGCGCCTCCCTGCCCCTGGAGCCCTGTCTCACCCAACTGGATGCTCTCGTCGTAGACCTTCATGTGCATCACTAGGGTGGTGCTGTTCCGCAGGACCACGGACCCCGAGCCGTCAGCCTTGTTGCAGGTGCCCATCTTCTCCGACACCTGATCTGCCCACCACAGCTTGTCCCCTGGGGCAACAGGAGGGATGGTACCTGGGGAAGACCTCCCCAGCAGCGCTCCTGAGGGGCCTGGCAGGGCAGGCAGGCTGCCCCCAGGCCCGCCCCCATCTCCCCAGCCAGTGCAGCCTGGCCTGCTCTGCTCCTGTCCCTGCTCCCGCCAGCGGCCTCACCCATGATGGCCAGGGCTGTGGCCTTGCCCAGCTGGTTCCGCATGGCGTCGATGATCTCCAGGTCACTCCCGTCCAGGTTGCAGCGGTTGATGGTGTGGTTCCCGGAGCTGATCCAGTAGAGTTTGCTTTCAGGGAAGTCAATGGCCAGGCCTGGAAGAGGGGGGTGTCACCGCCGGAGAGCCTGACACCAGGGCTGGGGTCCCAGAGCCTACCCAGCCCGGCTGCCACCTCCAAGGATGTGTTTTGTGGGGAGGGTGGGAAGGATAAGCACTAAGCTGGGAGTCTGGGGAGACAGAGGGGCAACCGGAAACCCTGAGAGCTTGCCCTGGTGGAGGAACGAGGGAAGGCTGTGGGCAGGTGGGGCCAGCTCATACCCACAGGGCCCCGCTGGCCACTGAAGAGCAGGGTGCGGTTGCTGCCGTCCATGTTGGCCATGCTGATGTTGTCACCGTCGGTCCAGTACAGCTTCCTGGGGGAGGAGGAGGGGCTCAGCATCCTCGTCTGCCCCCACCTCCCGCTCCCTGACCCTGGCCCTGGACTGACCCACGAAGGGGGTGGACAACCAGGCCGTGGGGCTGCTCCAGGCCCTGCACCACTGCGTTCTTGAAGGAGCCGTCCAGCCGGGCCACGTTGATCTGCTTCTTGTTGGTGTCGTAGCTGGTCCAGAACAGGTTCCGGGACATCCAGTCCACGGCCAGCCCGTGGGCATTCGGCAAGTCTGGGGGCACAGCGGGGAGCTGGTGGTTGGGGGTGGCAGGGCAGAGGCTGGGGGGTCGGGCAGCCTGTCTTCTGTGGGGAATGGGGATCAGGACACCAGGCCGCAGTACCCCGAGGGACGCAGGGGCACAGGGAGGGGGCACCAGGGGCCCGGTGGGGAGCCAGGGCGGGTGGGGGCAGGGTCCGGGCAGAACCTGCAGAGACCACCGTCTCCACGCCAGTGCCGTTGATGAAGGCCCTCTTGATGGCCTGCGTCCGGACGTCGGACCAGTACACGCGCTGCTCGCGGGCGTCGTAGTCCAGCACCGTGACGTTGTCGATGTCGGGCACCGTGAAGGAGATGATGTAGTTGTAGTAGGGGGCGTCCAGGTCCACACCCCGGATCTCCATCTGACGTGCGTACAGCAGGAACTTCTTAAACTCTGTGGGGCACGGGGTGGGGTGGGGTCACTGCTGAGGGCAGCCCTGCCTCTGGGCTCCGCGCCCCCCACCCCCCTCCAGAGTACGGTCCCTTCTCCCGTCCCTTCTGTTGGCTGCTGGCCCTCAGCGTCCAGAAGCCGCGCTCCCCCTAGGGTGACCTCCCTGCGGTAGCCCCGCCGGTCCTACCGAGGCTGCCCCGAGCCTCCCCGGCGGGTCCCTCCCGGCTCACTGTCTACCTGCAGTGACACGGGAGCCCCCGGGTGCCGACTCCTCCCTGAGCCTCGTGACCACCAGCCCTGCAGGAAGGGCTCCTACCGTAGCAGGTGGTGTTGTCCTTCTGGAGCTTCATGAGGTGGGGGCAGGCGCAGGAGACCGTCCGGTTGTAGTTGATGAGACACAGGTGGGAGCAGGGGCCACGGCCCCCATTGGCCTCGCAGGGGTTGGGAGCTGGGTGGGGGGAGAGAGGAGAAGCAAGAACATCCTATGACTTGCTGGGCCCTCCATGGCCTTTCTCTCCTGAACCACCCCTCTTCTTCTTCTCTTTAAAATATATCTTTATTGATTTCAGAGAGGAAGGAAGAGGGAGAGATAGAAACATCCATGATGAGGGAGAATCTTTGATAGGCTGCCTCCTGCACGCCCCCTACTGGGGAACGAGCCTGAAATCTGGGCATGTGCCCTGACCAGGAATCAAACCATGATCTCCTGGTTCAACCACTGAGCCACACTGGCCGGGCTGAACCACCCCTCTTCACCCCTTCCCATCCTCCCTGTTTCAGCACCGCCCGCCACCAGCCCTTCTGGCTCCGGTCCAGCTCAAAGCCCTCCTCTCTCACAGGCCTCTGACAAGGCCGCTGGCTCCTCGGGCCCTTACCCATGGGCTGCCGGGAGGGGTGGTACACCTGCAGGTCGAAGGGCTGGGTGTTGGTCCTCTGTACCACGGTGACATTGTGGCCGGTCCACTTGTTGGCCTTGGCCAGCGTGTTTGTCCGCCAGTCCGTCCAGTACACCTCCCCCCCGTACAGCGTCACCGCGAACGGGTGGGACAGGAACTCGTGCCCCCGGAGCACCTCCATGTGGCCGGAGCCGTCGTAACGGGCCGAGTAGATGGCATCCGACCTGAGGGCACGGTCGGGGAGGAGTGAGGGTGCCGGCTGGGGCCGCAGCTCAGGGCACCCTGCCCAGGGCGCCCTCCCAGGCCCTGGCCCACAGCCCCCACTTCACCCCCTGGAGCGTCCCTCCTCCCACCCCTGCTGGCCAGAGGAGGCAGACAGAATGGCCAAGCTGGGGACCACGTGCTGCCAGGGCTGGAATCCAGCCGTGTCACCCCCCCCCCCTTCTCCCCAGGGCGGCCGTTAGCACACAGGGCCCTGGTGAAGGTTATAAACAGGCACCCCCTCTGCAGAGACCAGTTAGACTGAGCCCCGGAGAGCGCACAGATCTGAGGGGCCAGGAGGTTGTATTTCAGCCCTCGGCCAGGCACCTGGGGCAGGGGGCAGGGGGCGGCTCGCCTGCACCCTCTTCTGTCCGCACCTGTCCCCTAACCCAGCCCCTCCCTCACTGCCGCCCTCTGCTGGGCCCAGCCCTTGGCCGCCTGGTTCTGGACCTAAGTCCCCAGGCCTTACCACCCTCCTCACTGCCAAGTCCTGGGACCCTGGCCCACCCTGGCCCTGGGTGGGGGCGGGAGATGGCGGCCTCCCAGGGCTGGTGGAGGGGCTGACCTGGCATCGATCCAGAGGATGCGCTTCTCCAGGTAGTCCACGGTGAGCCCGTTGGGCCAGCCACCCGAGCCCGTCTCCCGGTGGATGGTGCGGCGCCCAGCCCCACTCATGGAGGCTGCCTCAATTCGGGGCAGGCTGGCGTCCCAGTCCGTCCAGAACAGGATCCTGGGGAGTGGGGAGGCGGTCAGGAGGGGCCAGCAGGGGCCTGGGGAAGGGGCTGTGGGAGGGTCTAGGTAAAAGGCCTAGGGGGTTGAGAAGCATTAAGGAGATGGGTGCTGTGGCCAGGCTGAACAAGGCTATGCAGGGACCGAGGGGTCCTCACCCATCTCGGGGATCCAGTGCAATCGCCCTTGGGTGCTCGATGTCACCCGCCAGCAGGGTGGTCCGAAGAGTCCCATCCAGCTTGGCCACCTCGATCTGGTCCAGGTTGCTCTCGACCCAGTAAATGTTGCCTGCAATCCAGTCTACGGCCAGGCCCTCGGGGGTGGCCAGGCCGTACTGAATCACCACCTCGAAACTGGTCAGGGCTGGAGAAGGGAGGTGGCGGGAGGTTAGAGTCCCATGGGGCAGGCTGGACTCAACTCGAGACATCTGGCACATTCCATGACCCCCCTCAACCCTGCCTCTGATGGGCCCCAGATTCCACTGGGGTTCCCAGCCCCCCACTGTCATTCCGGCCCCCCACCCCACAGGAGGTCAGGCGGAGTGCAGCCTGGCTTCCGGAACCCCGGAGGAAGGGGTCACGGCTACCACCTCTGTGTGCAGCTCTCTGGAAGGCTAACCATGGGAGGAGGTCAGGGCAGAGGGCAGAGGCTTTGGGGGACAGACCAGACCCATGTGAGGAGGAAAGAACTTTCTAGAAGTCACCCCACAGACTGTCTCGGAGATTTTTCACGGAAAGACATATATACACGGACTGCATTATTTTAGAAACCGTCGAACAGTGTGCACACGGTCCCAGTCTACTCAGCTCCCCCTGGCTGATGGGCATTTGACAGCTGAGTGGCTCCAGGTTTTCCCTACGACAGACTCCTGCAGGAAGATGAGCTTCTTCCGAGTCTTTGCTCAGTTGTCACCTCCTGAGGGGCCTCCTCTGACTGTCCCATTTAAATGTCAGCCCTTCTCGCGGCCCTCTTGCCTCGTTCCTATTGGCCCCAGCGATGCCCTCCTCTGTCCCTCACAGTGCTTACAGCTGCGTTCCTATTGGCCCCAGCGATGCCCTCCTCTGTCCCTCCACAGTGCCCTGTCCCTCAGTGCTTACAGCTGGTGCTACTGGCACATGAGCTCCAGCAGGGCAGGCATTTGGACCGGCTTTGGTCACTGCTGCCTCCCAGGGCCCCGTGGGTATGGCAGGTGCTCAACATGTGTGTCGACTGGACGAACGAAATCTGTGATGGGTCAGGCTGCCGTGGGACGGAGGCCGAGTTCAGGTACCCCCACCCCTAAATGACGTTTTTACTTCCAAGCCTGTAATTCTAGGGTCTGGGGAGCCGAGCTGCAGGCCTTTTCAAAGGAAGGCTGATCATTTTGTTAATTATCAGGCTGGCAGCCCTGCCGACGATAATTACGGGGCGTCAGGCACTGAGACCCACAGCAAAATCTAACCAATTAACCAGAGTGTGGGGGCTGGGGGAGCCAAGGGCCTCTGCTGGGGGCCGAGCACCCAGGGCCCCTTGGGCGAGGCGAGCCCTTCACCTCCGTTGTCCAGCAGCTTCCCGCGGTAGATCTTGTCCTCCACCACGTCGGTCCAGTAGAGGGCGCTCTGGCTGAGGTGGAAGTCCAGGGCGATGGTGTTGCGCAGGCCAGGCACCAGGACGCTGTAGTCCCCTTTTTGAAGGTCGATGCGCCGGATTTCGTGCCGGTTGGAGAAGATGATGAAGGGCTTGAAGGGGTCTGGAGAGGGGTGCGGTGGGGGTCAGCAAGGGGCTTGCTGCCTCCGTGCCACCCTGTGCAGGGTGTGGATGGGAAAGGGGTCGCCTAATAAACCTGGCAGGCATGGTGGGCCCCACAAACTCAGGGACTGAAAATCGCCACAGGGGGTCTGAATGCACAAATCCCTACGTGAGACCGACTCACAGCAGGTCGTCACTCCTGGCCTTAGCTTCCTTGGCAAGGTCCTCTACCTGAGTGAGCCTGTGGTCTTCTTGCATCTAAGTTACACACCTTTGGAAGGTCAGAGTATCTTCTCTTCCAGAGCCTCAGGGCACAGCCTGGCACCGAGACCACAGAACCCCCCCTGGTTACTTTGTTCCCAGGATGCCACCTCTATGTGCACACATTTTAGTTATTAACCATCCCGGACCCTCCAACATAAAGTATGTGCCTCTCCATTTACTTTTATTATTATTATTATTATTGACTTTTTTACAGAGAGGAAGGGAGAGGGATAGAGAGTTAGAAACATCGATCAGCTGCCTCCTGCACACCTCCCTCCAACTGGGGATGTGCCCGAAACCAAGGTACATGCCCTTGACCGGAATCGAACCTGGGACCTCTCGGCCCGCAGGCCGACGCTCCATCCACTGAGCCAAACCGGTCAGGGTTCCCTTTACTTTTATCTAATCCCAGAGAAGCTTTGCTTTCTCCTGCCCCTCAGCCTGCCACCAATGGGCTCCGTGTAACATTCCCCTCCCTTTTACCCTAATGTATCGAACAAACTGCAGAACTGCCACCCTCTGGAGCATTTTCTCCACCTATTGAGATTTCACTTCCCAGCAATTGTCAGTTTGACTCAAGTAAACTAAGAAAATTCTCTACAGCTTTGGACGTTTCTTCTGTCTATAGGGAGGCAGGGTGTCTGTTGGCTCTGGGGCTGGGCCTGACAGACACCTTAGCCTCTGGCACTCAGCCGCCCAAGCCCGGCCGCCCACGGCTCAGGGACCTGCCTCGGCCTGCCCAGTGCCCGCTGCCACCGCCACCCTCACCCGCGTGTTACCCAGGCTGCGGCAGCTCTCCCCGTCGGGCTCCAGCACCCATCCCTCGTAGCAGGAGCACTTCACGCTGAACTTGTTCTGGTCGCACTTCTGGCTGCACTTGAGGTGCTTGGCACAGTAGCTCTGGATCTGACAGGTGTGGCTGTCAGGCCCCAGCTCCATGCCCAGAGGGCACGAGCACACAATGCCTTCCCCGGGTGCCACTGAGCAGTTGTGGCTGCAGCCTCCGTTATTCAGAGAGCACTGGTCTGGGGGGCAGGGATCAGGGGACAGGATCAGGGTCAGGATCCCAGAGGGGGCAGGACCATGGCCCTGCTGGGCCCCAAGTCCCAGGCAGGCAGCCCGGCACGCTGCCCCCTGCCTCTCCCCTCCTCCCCGCATCCTTCTTTTCCATTCCCACCAACCCTCTGTCCCACTGCTTCCCAGGCTTTCTCAGGACCAGGGTTGGGACCCCAGCACCCACCACTGGGACCCCCCCACCTTCCCACACCATGTCTGCATCTCTCTGGTCTCTACTTCCTTGCCACTTCTTGAGCCCACGGTGGGGGCCCCAGCTTTTTGCCTCTCTCTGGGAGGGCGGGAAACCCATTCCCTTTTCCTCGGTCTCTCCTGATTCGGGGTGAGGTGCAGTATGGAATGTCCCACCCTGGGCCCTGACACGCCCTGGGATCTGCCAGCCCTGAGAGATGACCCGGCAGCAGTTCTCGGGGCCTGTCCGGCCGCCTTATCTCCCACTCCTCTCCTTTCGGGAACCCGAGGCTCCGCCTGGAGATAAGGTGGCTCCGCTCCTCACCCCCAGGCCGCACCATGTGCCCCGTCCTGACCCCATTTCTTTTGATCTTGAATGCACACCCTCCTCCCCCCACGTTCCCACTCACCCTGAAAGATCTACCACCTTTGAGAACCCAATTAAATCCCCACCTCCTCTGGGAAGCCTGCCCTGACCACATCAACACTCCAGCCGGTGCCTTCACCTCAAAAGCCAGCTCTGCGGCTCGCGTGTGGGTGAGGTCTGTGCCTGCAGCGAGGGGTTGCGCGCACTGTCTCTACTTTAGGAGCTGTGTGACCTCGGACCAGCTACTTAACCTCTCTGTGCCTCCGCTTTCTCATCTGTAAGGTGGAGTGTGTAATCGTATCTGCCTCGCAGGGCTGCTTTATGGATTCAATGCTATGAGAGTGTGATGTGTCGAGCACAGCCTCTTGCGAAGGTGAGTGGCAAATCCACACGGGGTGCTGGGAACTGCTCTGGGTACTGCTCGCCCAGGAGCCAGAGCTGCCCTTTCCGAGTCTCAGACCTCTCCCCACACAGCCTGCCCTGCTCCACCTGCCCCGGCCTGGCCGGACTCCTTACCCAGCACCCTCCCCACCCTCTCCTGGGGCCTCCCGGGCCTGGGCCTCACCGCAGAGCTCTCCCTCATCGGAGCCGTCTCCACAGTCGTCCTTGCCGTCGCACAGCTTGTCGGGGGGCAGGCAGACTGAGGTGTTGTTGGCACAGGGGTGCGAGGGTGGCCTGCAGGCCAGGGACTCACAGTTCTCCTCATCCGAGTTATCTTCACAGTCACTGTCGCCATCACATACCCATGCTTTGCTGATGCACCGAGCTGAGGGGTGGGTATAGCATGAGGGGCCAGGCCTGGGCTTCGGGCTCCCTATGTCCTTCCCAGACCCAGTGGAGTCCTCCAATAGGGTCATGACTGCAATGCCTTGCGGTCCACTAGGAACCCCGAGGCCTTTTCTGTGAAATTCACACAGCGAAGAAGGAGGAATCTGCAGGAGGTGAGGGCTGGGTCCCCAGGGCCCTTAGTGCAGGCTCTGCCCCTTCCCGTCTTCCCCACGCATCAGGCACAGCTCTTTCTGTTCGGGCTTTTGCCTCAATGCCCCCACCTCCATCCCTCACAGTGCGGTGCTATCTCTGCTCTCAATACGGTTTTCTCCTGTCCATGCTGCCCCATTCCACGCTCCCTGCAATACTTCTCTTTACCAGAGTCCTTGCAGCCGAACTTGACGTTGGGGTCACAGACGTGGGTCACCCCCTCGCAGCTCTTCTCGTCACTGGAGTCCATGCAGTCAGTGTCCCCGTCACAGCGCCAGCGCAGGGGGATGCACAGCCCATCCAGCCGGCACTGGAACTCATCACTGTGGCAGCCACCAGGCGGCCTTGTAGCTGCAGGGGGACGGGGGAGGGCATTGGGTGGGGCAGGGGCTTCAGGTCAGCCATGCCCACCTCTGCCTTCCCAATCCCCCTGGTGCTATGCCCAGCCCGGGGCTATGAGCAGAGACAGAGATGAACTGCTGACACTCCTGGAAGCACTGAATGAGGCAGGCAGGGATGCTACAATCCCAGACCCGAAGGTCATCTCACCTAACCTCCCTATTTTACACGCGAGAGCTCGACTGGATAAGCAGTTTGCTCGGCCAGAGCTCAGATGCCCCCCGCCTTAGCCTAGCCTCTGTTTCATTCATCCACCCCACAGACACTTAGTGATGGCCTACTGTGTGCCAGGCACTGTTTCAGGTGCCAGCACGAGCAAGACTCCATGACGGGCCTTTTCCCGTCATGGAAGTGAAGCTCTAGGGGGGAAGACACAGACAATAAAACGCAACATAGAAACCCAGGATGGAGTTGCAGGTAGCGGTCGAAGCTGTGGACACCAAGCCGGGCCAAGGCTAGCAAGGGATGAGGATGCTGCTTTAGATGGGACAATCGGGGAAGGTCTCTGAGCAGAGTCCTGAACAGCGTGAGGTGTATTCTAGGCAAACAGCTAGTGCAAAGTCCAGGGAACAGCTAGTGCAAAGTCCGGGATAGGACTACGCAGGGTGTGCTGGACAAATGCCCAGGGCACAGTTGAGGCTGCACAGCCAGAGCGGAGCAAAGGAGATGGGCGGCAGGAACACAGGTCAGAGAAGTGGGTGGAGCCCTGCAGGCCTTGCAGCAACATTTGGTATTGATTCTAAATGCGTAGGGCGCCAGTGTGGGCTGAGGGCAGGGCTGGGGCATAATCTGTCTCGGGTCCTGCAGGTTATGCTGAGCTATGACCCCGGGGGCCAGGGAAGGAGCAGGAACAGGTGACTGCACCCGCCTGACTGCCACCACCACCGGGGCCGCTTTGCCCACCTGCCCCGAGCGTGGACAAGGCTCTCCTCTGGTGCCTGGACTTCAGCAGCAGCCCACACGCCGATTTTCCTTCCTTGGGGCCCCTGAACCGATTTCTAATCAAATCCCCTTCCGGGACGGTCTTCCGAAAGACCTCCTACATCCTATCGCCTTCCAGCTTCGAAATCCTTCGAAGGTCCCCAGCGCCCAACTTTCCTTTGCTGTAACCTGCCCCTTTCAAAACAGCCTCATTCCTCCGTCCCCTCCGGTCTGAGGCCATCCCACCCCCACCCTGCAGACCCTCTGGCTTGTCCATTTACCCACAGTCTAATCCAGCCGTGGGCAAACTACGGCCCGCAGGCCGGATCCGGCCCGTTTGAAATGAATAAAACTAAAAAAAAAAAAGACCGTACCCTTTTATGTAATGATGTTTACTTTGAATTTATATTAGTTCACACAAACACTCCATCCATGCTTTTGTTCCGGCCCTCCAGTCCAGTTTAAGAACCCATTGTGGCCCTCGAGCCAAAAAGTTTGCCCACCCCTGGTCTAATCCCTTATCAGGCCCTGGTTCAAATCCCGCCTCCTGAATGGTCCCAGCCATTTCAGCTCACAACCATAGTTAAGGATTGCTACCAACCATGACACCCCTGTTCCCGTGGGCCAGGCCCCCACCCGTCTCCTCTCATTTCACAGAGGAGGAAGCGGAGGCTTAGAGGAAGCGACTTGCCCGAGTTCGCCCAGCTTGTAAATGAAGCTTTTCCTACCAGGCCACGCACACACCTCCAGGGACCCTTCTCAGAACCCCCTGCACTAGCACCTGCTCTCCTCACCCAGCCTTTGTCAGCGATGGCCCTGCAAACCCAGCGACTGTCCCCTGGGCCTGGGGACTCTCCCCTCCTCCCTCTCAGTGCTGGGCCACAGCGCCTGCTCAGCACCGCTCCCACTATGTGCACCTAACTCCACGAGGCAGAGGTTGTAGGCTGGTGACCCGGGGCCAGATGAGGCCTGTGGGAAGATCTGGGCCTGCGGTGTTTTTTTAAACTTTTAAAACCAATTGCTGGTTGTTACCGTTTGACTTGTGTTCCCTAAAAGAGATGCCGAAGTCCTAACTCATAGTACCTGGGCATGTGACCTTACTTGGAAATAGGTCTTTGGAGATGATCAATTTAAGATGAGATCATTAGGGTGGGCCCTAATCCAATAAGACTGTCCTTCCATAAAGAGGAAATATGGACACAGGGACAGACACACACCCAGGGAGGATGCCATGTGAAGACGAAGGCACAGATCGGGGTGCAACATGCACAAGCCACAGAACGCCGAGATTGCCAGCACACACCAGAGCTGGGAGCGAGGCCGGGAACAGTCCCCCTCACAGCCCTCAGAGGAGCCAACCCTGCCGACACGTGGGCCTTGAACTCATAACCTTTAGTCATGTCAGATCATAGATTTCTGTTGTTTAAACCACTCAGTTTGTGGTACGTGACTGTGGCAGCTTCAGGACACTAACATATGTATTGTAAAATGGGTAGATTTCACATAAAAATCTGCATTTCAGTGCAGACTTCCCTTGAAGCCAGGGCAGTCCTGGGTCTGCATTCTTCCATAGTAACAAGCAGCCACAGCGAGACACCCACATCCCTCGAGAGGGTCTGTGCCTTCCCTTAGACTGAGCTCCACTGCCCCTGGCTGGGGCCTGGGGGCCGGCACTAGGGACCCTCATGGAGCCAGCCCCTCTCTGCTCTGGTCCTCACTGCACTCATTCATCCCGACCCCTCTGAGCATCCCTTCAAAGCTACTCGGTCCCAACACGAGCCACAGGCTGAGTGCCTGCTGCACACGGCCTCCCTGAAACCCCCACAGCAACACCGCCTGCTGCGCACGGCCTCCCTGAAACCCCCACAGCAACACCGCGATATCGGTGCTATTATTATCCCCACTTTGCAGATGAGCACAGAGGCCGCTAAGTGACTTGCTCAAGGCCACCCAGATAGTTAGCAGAGCTGGCGCTCAAACCCAGAGCCACGCAGCTGCAAGGCCTGCAATCTTAACGGCGTGTGACACCGAGTTGTCGGCAATCTCCCTCTCCCACTGGACGGGAAACTCCTGCAGGATAAGAGCCACGGCTGGGTTATCTCTGCTCCCAGATGGCAACGCACGCAGTGGGAGGACAGATGGATGGGTGGATGCTGAGTGGTGGATGTGCACCGTCTCGCCCCGCCCTGCGGGCTCCGGGTCCTACCCTGATTGGTGCAGTTGGCGTGGGTCTCGTCGCTGTAGTCCCCGCAGTCGTTGTCCCCATCGCAGGTCCAGTGCTCTGGGATGCAGCGCCCGCTGTTGCATTTGAACTGGGTGCTAGAGCAAGAGTGGCTGCAGCCTGCCTCGTCACTATTGTCCCCACAGTCATTGTCTGGGGGCGGCAAGAAGGGGAGAGGCAAGGAGCGCGTCAGCCAACGGCCTTCTCTGTGACCCCCGGTGGGGCCCCCACTCCCACCTCCCGATTCCCACCTCCCCACCCCAACCCCCCCACGGAGAAAAAAACAAACAGAAAAGACACAGAAACTGCATAGACTGCAGCATGCACCATGGCCCACATTGGGGGAAGGGGGGAGGGGCGGCGGGCGGGCTCCAGGAGGGCCCTTCCCTGAGTCTGGGAAGGCTGGGGGAGGGGCACAGGGCATGTTTCTTTCTTTTAGGCAGGGTGTGGGAACAGGGGTCTGTTTGCTTTGGGGGCAAGGCAGGGATTTATCTGGTTTTGGAGGGAGAGAGAT